GATTTGCACCCCACGAAATTCGCCAGCAAGATGGGTTGCCGGGGGTAGTCTGGGAGTTAAAGTCCACACATCTTAAAGTTGCCATGGTTGCGAAACACTGCCCTAGGCAAAGTCAAATTCTGGCACCCCCTCTGGTTTGACTCATCTTCCCATTTTGTTAGGAATTTTAAAAAGGCGCCCCCTTATTTCTTTTTTTTCTTTTTTTTCTTTGAGTTCCTGAGCTTTACATTTATGATTTCCAGTCCTGGACATTTTTTTTTCTTTTCTTGGACTTATTCATGTAAATAAGGGCATGATCACGAGTAGTTTGGTTCTTGAGATTTGTCAGGTAGGGAATCTGTCCAAAAATTGCTACTAGAGAGCTTTCCTTGTTGGAAGAGTAGAATTCTATAATGCTGTTTTATATCTTAATATATAAATAGTGGGAAATATTGAAAAGAATTAACCAATGGAAAGCTTTTGATTACCCTGAATACTCATATTAATTATAGTATGGCACCTTCGCTCCATACTATAATTGATGAATGGAGCTATTGTCCATCCCAACAGAATTGGAAAAACCCAATGTGCCTGATGAGTTAGAAAAAATGATTTATTCTTCCTCTTAGTGGGTAGGTACATAAACCACTAGTAATATTTGTAGAAGGAAACCTCAGTCTGCATTCAGAAGCTATGCCTGATTTGGACTGCATATGACTCCCTTGCTCTGGAATGAGATTTTTAGGCTAACTTGTGTATACATATAAATGTTTTAAGTTTCCTCTCATCATATCACACTGGAAATTATATTGTGCCTTAGTTCTTCGGCTATTTGTTTTGCTTGCTTTTGGATTCTGGGAACTGAACATTTTAATGGGGTAGAAATCTGATTTGATTATATTAAACATGACAAGTGAAAGGATCTCCCTTGAATTGCATAATATTAGTAAGCACCAGTAACAAAACATAAATCATAACATAACTGGTGGGATTATTGTTTCAGGTTCTTTTTCACAGAAAGTGCACTTCTCAATTTGATAATTTATCTTATTGTCATTCTGTTTCCTTTCCAGTTATTGCTCCGTATCTTATTTATTTATGGGAACAACCAAGGCAGATTTAAGCAAGCAACCAAAAAAAGTATGAGTGAAGACCAATCCATCAACAGAATCAGCACAATTTATGTTGGTCTAGAACAGGGGCCTGCCCTTTCGTTGGATTAAGAGGTGCACCAACATTTGAGTGGCACAGCAAGGGCTGCATTGAGAAAGAGAGTGGGGCTTAAAACTGATGGAAATGGCAGAAAATGATAAACTGACTTGCTTATTAAAAGAAAACTC